AGCTCTACCTGGTTTTGCCAGATGTATTTTTGCCTCAGCAAACCAGATGAGCTCTCCTAGTCCTTGGCGTGCCTGTCATGGTTTTCTATTTTTCACTAAGTATTGCCTTCCATCTAGCCACTCTGCTATAAAGGCCTGACTGATGGATTATTTCTGAGATGGTTCTCCTTCCAGCAGTTTCTCCCATCTCTGTGGAGGACTTCTGAAGCTTTGGTAAAGTGGCCATTGGGTACTTGGTCACCTCCCTGACCAAGGCCCTTTTAGCCTGGCCTCGGTTTCTTGGACTTTATGGCTTGGCCTTTTGTCTGACATGCACTGTTATGCTGATATGACCAGCTGTAAACGAGATGCAGAGTTTCTGGCAGCGTTCCTGAGAAGTCTTGGCCCATTCCTCATGAGCAATGTCCTCCAGTTCAGTAATATTCTTTGGTTTGAACTCTTTCAATCGCTTTTGTTTGATTTATTCATTGATAACAGTGGAAAGTCTGTAGGTTTTGACAATAGACCTGATTTGCAATGGGGATTGAATCATTTTGATTGCAACTGTACATGAGTATATTTTAGAGCGCTGTAGCCAAGGGTCTAACGGATATATTTCAGTTTTTGATTTTTTAAATAAATTTGCAAACATGGCCAAAAAATGTCATCCACTATATCAAAGAAGCATGAAAGAAAGTGAAAGGGTCTGAATACGTTCCGAACCCACTGTACAAATGCAGCAGTTTTACAATGAAAGCCTTTCTCTGTAAAGCTACTGCATCGGAAGCACAGCTAGCAATTTTGTAAACGTGTACAAGCCTTGACTAAAGTCTCACCAGATGGGTATACATTCTTCTCTGTGTCTCAAGAAAGGATCATGGATGAGATAGATGAAGAAGCGAAGGTGACTGCCAGGATGCGAAACTCAAAGACAGGAGCAAACTAGCTGGATTGGATGAACTGGATGCCAAAAGATGTTTTGTACTATGCTTTGCACCAGTGAAAGGAAACCATGTTTTTAGTCTATTCGTAGCTCTCTGAAGATACATAGCGAATGAAATAATTCTGTTATCAGGCTGCCCATTACTTATTTCTGGAGACATGTTCCAGTACACTTGGCCTTAATATTCAGATGTCACAAAGTATTGGTCAACTGTGTTCTATTATAATGAAACCTAAACTAGATGTGTATACTTATGTAAAAACTAACGTGTGTACCATTCCTTGCCTACAAACTACACCATGGGTCTTTAGTCTTATCCAGAAAGGGTCGATGTGGTTTTTTCCATTCTAACCCAGCAAGAACATGCTTCCTGGATAAGCTTGAAGACTCCTGAACTGATTATATTATCTAAAAAGAATATTAACTAGACACAAATTCTAGTGTTTGGGGTGCAGCGTAAAGTTCCTGGAGCAGAATAGGACAGCAATGATCCAGTGCACGACTCTGTCCAGTATGGAGTCATTTAAGACTCAACTACCAGATGCTTCTCTGTTCATTCATGAAGATTTCTACAAGAAATCCACAGATTGGAAGAACAGTGATGACGCGAACGAGAATTATTGAATCAACGTGCCACTAGAGGGCACTGTTCAACCTTATGCTCCATGGAAAGAGAGTGATGGGTTCAGCACACATGGGTTCAGCACTGCATAGACCTTTGGCCATCAACAGTAATGGAAAAAACTGTTGATAATGTTTCAATGGTAAATAATTTTAAGATGTAAAGGTTTTGATTTTTGCAACATAAATAAATGTCTGATCTTTGCCATATCCTGCAAATGCACATTCAAATGTTATTCGTTTATATTTTTATTTGTTGTTTTTTTTGCACAAATAAACTTTTTTTAGCATAAAGTATATTCAAATTCATCTTGGGTATAAAAAAAGAGGGGGGGGGGGGTAAGTAAAGACAATGCATGGCAGTATAGCAGCTTTGCAAACAGGCATCACATTCTGTAAAACAATACATTTTTATCAGGTATTTTTAATTCACTGCTTTTATATATATATATATATAGGCAACGTTATTTCACAGTTTGTGATTAATTATTAATAATATTTTTATTAATAGAGGGAGCGTAAGGTAAACAAATAATTTCGTTTCAATTTAAACAACCTCACATAAGCTTTTTTTTATCCCTTTAAAGTCATTTAAGTATACACCTTTAGGTAAGAAATAGATTATAAAGTATTTATTCATGAAACAATACTTTGTTTTTTTTTTTTAAACCAGGCAAGATCTGGCTTTGATTTCCCAAGTAATACAGAAAATCTTCAAACCAAAGTGCATCAAAGCAAAAGGAGCTAAAACATCATCATAGAGAGAAGTTATTTACCCTCGGCTCGGTTCGCAATGTAAATCGGATCTGCCTCTCTGCTGAAGTGCTGTGTGCATTTTGGCCGATTAGTAGCCTCCGTATATCGTTATAAATCAGTGAATGTATGTCCACAAAAAAAGTCATTTCCATCTACACACACAAGCAAAGAGTAGAGCTGAACTGCACTGCTTGAAGATCTTTCAAAGATATCCTCACTTACTATAATGCACGATTCAGGTGAACTGCACCTCCACCAGATCCGTGTCTCCAGGTTCGATTCACATTAATAATGTCATAAAAAAGGGAAAGGTAAAAAATAGACATGTCTAACGGAACATATACCCTAGAAACTCAAATACACATGGACGTAAAGTATACAGTATATCAGGCAGCAGTTTAATGTCACCTTAAATCGGTTTTCTTTGATCAGGATTATTAAGTAATGTCACATTTACTACAGCACAATATCAGGAAACATTCAGGAGAGATGCACGGTCCAGTGGATTTTCTGTTACGCTCTCTCACTCTCTCACTCACACTCACTCTCTCACTCATTCTCTCACTCTCTCACACTCTCACTCTCTCACTCATCCTCTCACTCTCTCTCACTCATTTTCTCACTCTCTCACTCATTCTCACTCACTCATTCTCTCACTCTCACTCACTCTCTCACTCTCTCTCACTCATTCTCTCACTCTCTCACTCTCTCACTCATCCTCTCACTTTCTCTCACTCACTCTCTCACTCATTTTCTCACTCTCTCACTCACACTCTCACTCATTCTCACTCACTCTCTCTCACTCATTCTCTCACTCATTCTTTCACTCTCTCACTCACACACACACACCTCTCTCTCACTCACACACTCTCTCTCTCATTCTCTCACTCTCTCTCTCACTCATTCTTTCACTCTCTCTCTCTCACTCACACTCTCTCTCTCTCATTCTCTCACTCATTCTTTCACTCTCTCTCACTCTCACACTCTCTCTCTCTCTCTCCTCACTCTCTCTCTCACTCTATCTTCACCTCTCTCTCACTCACTCTCTCTCTCTCTCACTCTACCTCTCTCTCACTCTCTCTCACTCACACACACTCTCTCTCTCTCTCTCTCTCACACTCTCTCTCTCTCATTCTCTCACTCTCTCTCACTCTCTCTCACTCACACACACTCTCTCTCTCTCTCTCTCACTCACACTCTCTCTCTCTCATTCTCTCACTCTCTCTCACTCTCTCTCACTCACACACACTCTCTCTCTCTCTCTCTCTCTCACCACACAGCCAAAAGTATCACATGCCTGTTCAGCAGGTCTGACAGCTGCATCTACAGGCGGTTTATTTTAGAAAAGTGCAAAGGACATGGCCAGGCCTGAGTCATTAGTGAGCCACCGGTGAGCTATCAGAAATAGGCAGGTTACTCTCGTGTCACTGAGCTCACCATAGAAATGGCAGCGACAACCGCATCCTCACAGCAGCACAGTTTTGCATGGCAGTAGTGGAAGTTCATTTTGCAGTTTGTCTGTTTGATTTGTAGGACTGTACACAACACTGAAGTCTAAGAATGGTCTCGTATATTAGTATTCAAGTACACAGTGTGTGTTACGCTCTGGAGTTAAGAATATGTTTTCCTTGGGTTGCAGTCTACCAGTGCTGGAACACTGCTAGCATCATCAGGGACAGTGACTGTGAACTGACAGAACAGGAAGTGCTGCTGACACACGCTCGTCCACCAGCAGCGAAGGGCTTTTATCGGTCTGTGTAACGTCTTCTTTCCTCAGTAGGATGAGAAAGAGAACAGCAGGCATGTGCTGGATGAGGTAGTCTAATCTAGTTCTGCCAACAGGCTTGGTTGTGGATGTTTACTGTGAAAGAAGAGAGAGTGGGGGGACATGAAAGGTTTTTAAAAACATAAGGCACAAATTTTATATGAAATGTTCGTATATTATACTAGAATCTATTAGGACTAATGCTGGTGAAACTGCAAAGAGCTTAAGTTAACAGGCATGTAACAGGCACTATTTAAGTGCAGCATACCATTCTGGTAAGGTCAGGAGTAAAGGTCGTCACCCCGTTAGCAGATCGTTCCTGTGAACTGCTGCTGCTGCCACTGCCGCTGCTGCTGCTGCCACTTACAGAGGTCTTTCTTATGATCCCTGTGAAGCAATCAGAGCAACAGAAAACATTTGCTTTTTTTTTCCCCACTTCACTAAAGAGTATAGGGTTTCAGCGCTGGGACTGGGATCCTGTGGGACAAACGCGGTCGGGTGGATATGAGGCTTATGGGACAAAGAAATTCCACGTTCATTAACAAGAGAGTGTATTGGACATGGCACTCTGCTTGTGCAGCTCTGTGCATGACATTTACTACGTTCGTTCATTGTCTGCATTATCCTGCTCATGGTTATGGAATATCACAGGCTGGCACAAACAGAAATAAATGTAGAAGGTACAATTGGCTAAGAGTGTCTGCAGGAACATGAAGTGGGATTTAATTTTTTTATTTTTTTTTTAAAGTCCTGTGCACAATATTATCATATCATTCCTCAAAATGAACGAGTTTTTATTGGTCACATATACACCGTGAAATTGTTTTCTTCACATACCCCACCCCAGCATGTTAGGAAGTTGGGGTCAGCTATGATACAGCACCCCTCGAGCCGAGAGTGTTAAGGGCCTTGCTCAAGGGCCAAATAATGGAAGCTTGGCAGTGCTGGGGCTTGAACCCCTTCCGGTTACTAACCCGGAGCCTTAACCGCTAAGCCACCACTGCCACTTTGTTATTAATCTGTCACGTTCACAAGATTTCAACGTGGGGATAATTCACTTCAACCCCAAGCTATACCTGTTATAGGGAGAATATCCAGTCTCTGAAGGCTGTCACGACGAGTTGAAGGAAAGCCTCCTCCCTTAGACAGCCGACGCTGCCGACTGGACAACATGGTTGCTGGCGAGAGGATGCACGGTGGAGGAACTTTCCCCATCCGCTCATAGAGCTCTTCGATTTCTCGCTTCTGCACTGCCTGCAGAGTCTGCACCTCAGTCAAATGCCTGAGAGACAGAATGGTAATCATTAGCGATACTGTAAAACAATTAACGAGTAAACAAATTTGTTGATTGTTTATAACAGCAATCCAATCAGACGCTCACTTCTTCCTCAGCTCCTGCAGCTCATCCCACATCTCCTCGTCCTCACTTTCAGATTCGTCACTGCTCATGTAGGAATTGGTGCGTGTGTAGCTCATCCACATGTTGTGGTGAGGAACAGAACATTGAGGGCTGTCCAAAATCCCGTCCCCGAGACCCACATCAGGATCCATAATGACACAAAGCCCGCTGTCTACTGATGTCCCAGTCAAAGACTGGACAGAACCAAGCCTTCGGGTTTTCTTCTTCCTCTGCTGCTGCTCCTCCTGGGCCTTGTGATCTTCGCCACTCTGCTGTACCTCCACTTTCTCCACTTCTTTGGTCTCATCAGTCCAGGTCATTTTAGTATCTTGTTGAGACTGTTCATGGAGGCAGAACGCATCATAAGGAGCCTCAGACAACAACTTCTGCTCAAGGTCCATTGATTGGCTTTGGTCATGAGTAGCATCCAAGAAGTGTTTAGCTTCAGGAACATCTATGTGGAGGTGCTGAGAGAAGGTGGCATTCAGGGTGGAAATTTTGTTTCTGTCTACCCCTGATTGCCCTTTAGTTTGATTATCATGGGAGGAACCAATGGAAATATTGGTTAGCATGTCTGGTGAGACAGCAGGTGTCAGGGCCGGAATAGTGTTACAGCTTTTGTCAGCAGGTGAAGAGGGAGTTGGGATCACCTTTGTAGGTGAAACCTGGAAGCGGCCAACTGTTACTACTGGTTTTGACTCTAAAGAAGAATACAAAATAGCATGATGAATAGTGTACAAGTACATACATGTAGTATGTTCTTATTTGATCAAGTAGACCTTGTGATATTTTGTTACACCAGTGGTACCCTACCACATTAATATCAGTTACTCCATTACATAAACACATACGTAAGAAATGTGGGTACGATGGTTTGTGAAAAAGCAAGGGCTTTACTGTTAGCTGCGTTGGTATGGTTTGGGCAGCACTCACACTTCCAGGCTGTGTTCCAGGGAACATTACAGTACATTGGTTACGGTTATGCAACACCTCCAAAGCCATAGCTAATGGGTGGTACTGTCTTCCAACACCAATATGGGCAAGCCAAGTCTACACAAAAGCGCACTAACTTGCAGTGCTCAAGACAGAAAGAGAACCAGCTTGCCTGTTAAGTAATTACCTAACACCCATATGCAGTAAAGGCATTTTTTTTTTATTACAAAATAGATGATGTCCCTTTATTGCTGTTTGCGTGCATGTAATGATGTCTAGACCATCTTACCAGAAATGACAGGAGATTCTCTGTGCTCACACAAATTACTGGTACTAGTGTCTGGTTCTGCTGATGGGGAAAGGGATCTTGGACTGGAGGAAGAAGCCTTATGAAGAAAAAAAAACATTTAACATTAGTCTTGCATTACTAATCATGGAAGATTCTTCACTAACTGAGAATTGCAACAGTAATGCAACATGCAAGCACAAGTGGGCCACAATAATTCTAGCAGTAACTCTGTCACCAACCGCAGTTTCACAGTCTGCAGGACTCACCATGCTCTCTGGACTAGGTCTTGGGGATGATGACAATCCAGAGGAAGATGATCTGGAGAGGCTTGCTTGGCTCAGTGATGGTCTGGGAAAAGCTTCTGTATATCCTTGTGGGAGAGAATAGTTCGTAGGGTGGTGTTGGATGTGTGTAGGAAGACCACCCTGAACCCCTTTCTGTGGGACACTGCTGGACATTTGCTGCACATGAGTATCTGTATGCGTGGGCATCCCAGGTGCATGTGTAAATGTGGAATGTGTCCTTTGAGCAAACCCATACAAAGCATCCTGATTCAGATTTGGAGCATCTGGATTGTATGGTGGGTATATGCCATCGGCTTGCACAGGCAGTGTATAGTGGGGTGCATATGCCATATGATATCCAGCCTGGTGTGGCATAGCATGGCTGAAGTGAGGTGGAAAGCCAGGAAGAGAGGGCAAGTGTGGCAGCATAGAAGCAGGCAGGTTAGGGGGAGGGATGAAGGACTGAGCCATGCTCATGGCCATGGAGAGCATGTTTGCCAAGGAGAAAAGCGGGGGTGTTTGTGGCGCCCATATGTTGGGCATGTGTGTGGTCATGGGATTGCCATCAGCAGTGGCGCTTATGGAATCTGAGACATGAGGGCCAGAAGAGGCAGACATGAGGTGGGAGGGGTTACTGGGGACGTGTGATCGTGAGGGATGAACAGTCTTGGGGGATCCAGGGTTTGGTGGGTACAGGTAGGGAAGTTGAGCAGAGCTGGTCATAATGGGCATCTGAAACTGTTGCATGTGGCCAAGATTTGAAAGGGACATGGGCGGATTGGGTGGGTATGTGGTATGGAATGGGTGAGATGTTCCTGGAAGAGGAAACAAAAAGCAAAAAAAATGTAATGAATGAAATACTAAAGTGTGATCGGTTATTAAATTGTTTTGTATGAACCTACCAGGGTTCGTATCTTCAACATATCAACAGAATAGCAAAGAAAAGCAAGCTTTTGTTGGAGGACAGAATGATATCTGAAGAACCTGTAGAAATACCTGTTCTTTGGGAATTGTTTAAAATGTTTAGATATCTACAACAGTAATGCTAGATTTGAGCATTTTCCATATTTTTTCCAATCTTCCAAATTTGGTCAACTGCCAATTCCTAATCACCAGCCAGCTCTCACCTATAATACGACAATTACCAACCAGGTAGGGTGAAGGCTAACCTCCTTCTTTGCTTCCTTTAAGAAATGTGAAGGTAGCTGAACTCAGAGTAAAGCACTCTCCCTTCTTCCACATAACATGACAACACCACGTGACGGAAACAATTTCACTGTGCTCTATTGTATATGTGACCGATAAAGACTCATTAACACGAACAACCATGACTGGCTAGTGTTGCTGTGATTGACAGAGAGATAGAGCAATGAATGTCATCCCTCTCACCCAGATGGTGAGATTTTGCTCGCAGATTAATGTGGTATTTTGGGTATTTTAACTCGTGCTCTGACGATTGGGTCAACACTTTTCTTGGTGCACCCCACCATGTGAAAATATATTCCTTGGTTATGGAGGCGAAATAAAACCTCACCATCAGCAATACCTGATCAACAAAAATAAGGATATGTCACAACTTGAGTCGAATGTCCTATCACTCATGCATTCACACTCTTCTTTAGGATTATCTTGTTTTCCACTGCTTTGTAAGCTGGTAATGATAAATGACATTGTAATGACAGAGGCTTTATTCTCTGTGACATTCACCGAACAATAAAAGTATTTACCTTAACAGCTCTCTACCCCCACTCCAAACATTTCCTTTAACTGAAACATAAAAGGCAGTCCTTGGCTACGCTGCAGTTACATCAAATTCGAATATTTTAATTGTGTGAGAAAGTTTTACAATGAGTCTTAAGCTGTAAACCAGATGACTGCCTCTGGTTAAAGGAAAAATGGCAACTCGTGCTGAAACCACGCAAAAGCAAACAGTGGGGAAATATAAGAGAGCTAACACGCCATAAAAGTGGTGTGGAGTGCCAGAAAGCAGCAGGACAGATTGCTCTATAAAAGGAAAAGAGCAGCTCTGACAATAGGAACAACAGGAAACCCAGAACACACTGAGGGGGTTCTGGTTTTCACAGGTTACCGGGTTTGGGAATTCTGGTTTATCGATTTACTCCACATCATTGCTGAGAAAAGGCATTCTTGGACAAATGAACAGAAAGCATAAGAGACGTGATATTGGTCAACACATCGCCTTCCAGCTCTTTCTCTAAAGGCCGTCGCAGAGGCCACAAACAAGCAGCATTCAGGTGAGGTAATTACCCAGGTGGTTCTGGGACTGAATCCGACACACAAATACACAGTGAGGCTTTGAGTAGTAGGCGCCAGCTAAAACTTAAATACAGTGGCTTGTGTGTTTTATTTTCTGCCAGTCGCTTCTACAGTGTGGAGGCAGAGCAGTAGTGAAGGCTATGGGAGAAATGATAGAATGTGTGCATAGATTGGAGGGATGGCTAAGGAGAGAAAGTGGGGCCACTCACCCAGTGTGTTATGGAAGGACTGTGAACGCAAGAGAGGTCGTACTGGTGATGTAACGTCTCCGTTCTGCCCTGCCACGGAGCCATGGGACTCTGATTGGACACGCATATAGGAAGAAAAAAAATGTTAGGCGTTGTTTAATATAGCACTCATTACTCCATAGCACTAATGTTCTAATTAATATAATTGTTCTTCACACTGATGTGAGCTGGGTTTATTCTTACCTGGCAGAGAGGAGGTGGAATGTGTCCGAGCAAGATTCTGCAGGTTTGGCTGCAAAGGGGAAAAGGGGTCATTTCTATACATTTTCAACAAAAACAAAGCGGATATGAAATTTCCTCTAACAAAGATTTATAATACATGCTTTATAGCTTGCCGTGTTGCAGTGCTTTCTTTTAAAACCAAAGCTTAAATGGTTGACAGTTGAAGACAAATTCGAAAGGCGTGCGGTTACTGCACTAGCTCTTAGTCACTACCGTAACGTCCTGTAATGGCAGACTCTTAAGTCTTGATTAAGATGGCTGTTGATGTCCCACTCATATACATACAAAAACACATTTTTTGGCACTTGCTCATTACAAGCGTTTGAGACTACTTAGGTCATCGTTGCCAGCAC